GGGTTGCAAAGATGTGGAAAGAGTTGTAGACTAAGGTGGATAAACTATTTGAGACCCGACTTGAAGAGGGGAGCTTTCTCTCAAGACGAAGAAAGCTTGATCATTGAGCTCCATGCTGCGTTAGGCAACAGGTTAATCAATTTGCGACAAATTAATTTGCAACACACTATATATAGTTTTTTACATGATTATATAGTCCTGCCTAGAGATTGATTCATAATGCCGTTCTTGAAATGTTTCTTTGATCCATTATTAATGTGTAGATGGTCTCAGATCGCAACACGGTTACCAGGAAGAACAGACAACGAGATCAAGAACTTCTGGAACTCATGTCTTAAGAAGAAGCTGAGAAGAAAAGGCATCGACCCAACAACACATAAACCCTTAATAATAAGCGAGCTTCAATCTCTTAACGTCATAGATCAGAAGCTGACGTCATCGGCTACTTTAGAAGTAGTAAAGTCAACGGGTTCGTTAAACCCGCATGATCAGTCCACGGGCGTCTCATCGCAACCAGGGCCGTGGTGGTTCCCGACTACACCGACGGCTAATCAAAACGCTGCGTTTTGCTTAAGTACTGCTATGATGACTCCAACGGTTTCAGACCAGATCGTATCTTTAATCTCTTCAATGTCCACGTCATCATCTCCGACACCAATGGCTTCAAACTTCAATCCTGTTCCAAACAACTGGGAAGTACTCAACTACTGCAACACAGTTCCATCTCAAACCAACAGTATCTACAGTGCCTTCTTCGGTAATCATTACACTGAAGCTAGCCAAATCATGAACAATAATAATAATCCAGTAGTAGTGGATCATCATCACCATAATCAAGACATGAAGTCATGGGCATCAGAGAATATTCTTCAATACACAGAACATAACCAAAGCTCAGAGACTGGTTTCGAACCAGAAGTGAAGCCAGACATAGCCAAGTACTACTGGAGATCAGCATCATCATTGTCATCACCAAACCAAGATGCTGCAACATTACTTCATGATGCTGACGTGGAGGTGTATGGTAAAAACCTACAAAAACTTAATAACATTGCGTTTGATCAGTGCCTTTAGATAATTAACATGTGTTAGAGAGAGTCTAATTAATCGGTATTTTCTTCATGTTATATTCACGTTCACGGATCGGAGTTTATTGATTCATAC